TGGCGCCGCCGCCGCCTCCGGGACGGGCCCCCCGCCCGCTGCCCCCCCGGCCGCCGGAAGCCGCGCGCCCCTCCTCCTCCTCGCCGGCGGCCCCGCCTCCTACCCCTCTCACGTGACTTCCCCGCGCTGGCCTCCTCCACGTGACTGCTCCCTCGCTCCCGCCCCCTCGTTCTCGCCTGCCGCCCTCCCACGTGACCCCAGGTTGCCGGCTCTCTCTCTTGGCGCCCCCAGGCGCGTTTGCGTGCGTCGTACGCGCTGGTGCGTTGGCGCTTCACCTGCGTCTCTCTCACGTGACCCGGCGCCGCGCGCTCCGGGGCGTGCCGGCGCGGCCGTGTCCCCGCCCTTGAGCCGCGGCAAGCGTGGCTTGGGCGGGTCGGGGAGCGGTGCGGCGGGTGCAGTCTTTGTCCCGGTCCCCAGGTTGATCCTCGGCTTTTCCTGAGTTCTGCCGCCGTTGGGCGGGCGCATGTCGTAGGGCAAGGAGCTAGAGACCGGTGGTCCAGAAGCGGGATGCCCGTCCTGGTCCTGCTTCTGGTGCGCTGTTGGACCTTGGGCTGACCACTGTCTCCCAGAGCCTCTTGTTTCCATCGGCAAAGCGCGTCTGATGAGGGCGATGCCGGTGGCCTGCTCCCGAGGATTCGCTGCAGGGGGACGGGTAGTGTGAGCGTGGCCGGGAGCTGCCCCCCGTGCTGTTCGGCCGAATTTGGCTGGGCTTGGGGGTGGGGACGGGATGGGGGACAGGGGGATGAAGGGGGACAAGATGGGGAGAAGGAGGATTATGGGGAGAGCAGAGGGACGAGGTGGGCTGCATCAGGAGCTGGAAAGAGGTGAACTCGCCAGGACCCAGCCCCAGTCCAAGCCCGAATGGCCATCGTCTTGTCCGGGGATGCTGGCCGCGGCTAGAGCAGTGGGCTGGTGGCAATACCACGAAGGACACATCTGGCCAAAGTCTCAGAGACCCAGGGCAAGTGGCCTTCTGCCAGGTCAGGGCTACCGTCTGCTGGGGCACCTCCACCATTAGGCTCTGGCTGGATGTTCCCTGTCTCTCGCATCTGGACTCCAGTGACTTAGCACTTGTTGGAAGCTGCCCACCCGCCCGACCTGCTCGATCCTGGAATACTCATTTATCTGCTCAGTGGCCTTGGCAGAAAGCATTTGGCTGAGGTGGGCTCCTGCGTATTTAAAGATGACCTTTGTTGTGTTGCTAGAAGGCTGCTTGTTCGGGGAGCCTGAAGACTTAGCCAAGAGTTTCCTTTGTATGTGCAAGCTGGTAGCGTAAAAACCTGTGGTAAGAATTCCCATTTATTGGGCCACTTATTTTGCAGTTTTTTGCGGGGGAGGGGGAACAAAGTCTCAAACTGTTGTCCTGGCTAGAGTACGGTGGTGTCACAGCTCACAGCAACCTCAAACTCTTGGGCTTAAGCAATTCTCTTGCCTCAGCCTCCCAAGGAGCTGGAACTACAGGTGCCCACCCCAACGCCTGGCTATTTTTTTTGTTGTTGCAGTCATTGTTGTTTTGGCTGGCCCAGTCCAGGTTCAAACCCACCAGCCTCAGTATATGGCCAGCACCCTACCGACTGAGCTATGGATAAGCCTTTTGCAAATATTTTTGAGCATCCAAACTACATTGCAAGGTAAGCATTTTTATCCCTATTTTACAAATGGAAAAAGGAGTGACTGCCTAGGGATGTCCAGCATGTAAGTGGAGTTCTGGGCCTGTTGCCTGCTCTGCCTTCTACTACAGTGCTTTTTCAAGAGGTTTTTATATGTCACTTCACTAAGAGACCCAGAAGTGCAACCGTTTGAAATATCCTGGACTCTACTTTCTAAAGAGTTTCATTAGAAGAAAACAACATAAAGAGATAGTCCTACAATGCTGCACAGACTGTCAAAGTCTCCCAGTGAGGAATCCCAGAAGTTGTGGTGGCTGAGATGAGGTTTGTTGTCTTTTCGCTGCTCGTCTGTTTGGTGTCTCAGCTCTGGCTAGGATAGCTGCTGGTTCCTAGGAGCCTAGTGTAGAGTCATATCTGACATGACTGCATGTAAGCATAGTGCCCAGTTGAAATGTGGATCGCAGAAAGTGAAAGGAAGTGATGGATATACAGTATAACCTCCCTAGATTACCACCTCCCTAAGTTGCCATAATTTTCATAGACCTGATATATGCCAAATGTATGTATTGATACAGTGGGCCCAGTTCTTTATGTTGACCACTTTTGTAGGTTGATTGACCAGTTCAGAGTCCCTTAGGTGGTCAACTTAAACGTTCTACTATATTCATTTATTGAATGTTTGTTGCTAGGGGAACAGGGAATACAATAAAAATCTTTGCTCTTTAGGGCTTTACATTCTGTTGGGGGAAACAGTCATGATAAAGCTGGAGTCTGCAAAGCCAGCTGACACTCATGCGGGATACTGCCATCCTTATGTGTACTGAGCACCTGCTGTATAAGGCAGTGGGGATGCAGCATTGAATGAGAGGTGCAGAGGACGCCAAGAGCCAAATGACCTCTGAGCAAGGTGATCTGCAGCTGGCCGGTGGACCCTTGGGCCATTTGTCCACAGGTGCTCCTTGTGGAGAAAGAGCCTGAGCCTTCAGCATGTAGTCATTGTTAATTATTCCCCTCACCTGTGTTGTACAGTCTCAATAAAAGGCTAGTGCAGAGGTTGCTTGGGGCTACCCTACAAAGAAGGACTAGCCCGCCTCTTACAAGCTTGTACTTGTTGTAATCCATGTCACGCCTGGTTCCTTCCTGTGGTGATCGAGACCAGGGCCATAGGGGCCCGAGGGGTTGCGATATTTTGGCGTAGTCCGCAGGATGTGGCAGGACACCAGGGACGTGGACCAAAGGGGAAAGTGACACTCAGAAGTAAGTGAAGCCTTTGGTAGACGGTGGGAGGAAGTCCAAAGGGAAACTCTGCTCAGGGCAAGTGGGACCTTTGGCCACTCTAGAAGCTGGAGAACCTCGCTCGGAATAAGTGAGATGTATCATAAATAAGCAAAGATATGGGTAACTTTCTGTTTGGGGGGTTGTGAGAAGTAGAAACAGGAAGAAGGTGATATTCAAGCAGAATTTGAAAGTGAGAATAGTGAGGTTCAGTGGGAAGCTAGACTTAAGGAGAACTGGGAATCAAGAGGATATGATATAGACACAAATAAGCAAGTAATTACCTCTTTGGCCACTATGGCTGCTCAAATCAAACAGTTGGGAGATAGGGCAAATAGTCTCACCATCAGAAATGCCAACTTAGAACACCCAATATTGCCCTCAGGGCCTCCCTATGTAAATGAACCGCTGGTGACTTCTGTTATGAAGGCTGTGTTACAAGGGCGTAGAACTGGTGACTTTGAGTGGGAAGACACTTTAGGGCTTTTTCTGGTTACTGTCACTAATATTCCTGATCTGTAACACCCTCAAGGGGGCCAGCATTTTGAACATCATATGATCACCTTTGTGGTTCTGAAAGATTTGAAACAAGAGAATCGCCTAAGCCCAAAAGCTAGAGGTTGCTGTGAGCTGTGATGCCACAGCACTCTACCAAGGGTGACAAAATGAAAAAAAAAAAAAAAAGATTTGAAACAGGCCGTTGTTACAGGAAGACGAGGCCCAACAGAGAGAAAGCGTACCCAAACACCACTTTTGTAAGAGAAAGGGCTTTATTCATCGACTGGGAGCTTGCAGCATAGATTTCCAAATGGCTGTGCTCTCCCACTGGTTTGGTCTTTCTCCTTTTATTAACAGTCAAGAAGTTCTGCCCCACAGGTACTCTTCCCATTGGCCAGTTTGAATCAAGTGGGAGATGCCAGTCCAGCCCCTACAGAACTACAGGATTTCACAGAACTTTGAAATTTCCAGGTTCCAGGAAGTTAAGTCTATAAATTCCCAAGCGTTGAGTCACCATGGAGAGGACCCTGCAAGTGCATCCTTGTGGTCTCCCTGAGAAGACCTGTTCTCCCAGACCTCACCCTTCTCGGGTATCCTCTCTCACTGTAGCACGGTGTGGTATGCAATCCCCGTTTTCTAGAGGTCTGTTACCAGCAGACCTGGGCTTGTGCAAGAATAGCAGCTCATTCCTTATGACTGGGATATGATAGCCAGAACCGTTCTTGAATCTGGATAGTATTTACAGTTCAAAACCTGGTGGAAGGAGGAAGCTGACTTGATGAGTCATCAAAACCAGCAGAGCGGAATCTCTATAACATCAGAACAGCTCACTGGGTCTGGTCAGTGGCTGGGGATTCCCAATCAACTTCAGTACAATGACATAGCCATGGTCCAGACAAGACTGTGTTGTCTTAGGGCCGGAGAAAAGGTTCAGGCTTCTGGAGATATTTCTAAATCTTTTATTAAGATAATGCAGTTGGGGAATGAACCTTATACCGACTTGCTAGCCCAACTAAAAAATGCAGTCAATAAGGCTGTTGTCCAGCCGGAGCTCAGAGACATGCTTTTTCAAACTTTAGCATTGGAGAATGCTAACTTTGAGTGTTAAAAGGTCCTGCGACCTTTGAGAGCACAAG